AAAATTTATATTAACTTTTCGCAACGTGTTAAAAATCGGTATGAACTTTCAAAATAAAAGGATTTAATAATGTATATAAAATCGTGAAATAATTTATCGAGGAAATGGGAAGATTTTGTTGATAACATTTAGAATGATTTAGATAAAGATAAAAAAGAGCAGGAGGAGAATGAGAGAGAGTGAGAAAGAGAGAGAGAGAGAGAGAGAGAGAGATGAATGTTCTTTGCACGAAGAGACTAGCTATGATCAAACTCCATACATAATACAATAGAGGTTCGAAACGGCAATGCGCCCTCTCTGGGAGGAACTTACCGATTAACTCATCTACCATGGGCATTGTTGCCCTCAATGAGAGGATACCGGTCGCATTTATTGCGGGTATCGCGTTATTATACTAACCTACTCGCTTTTGTGCGGCGATATAAGTTTTCCGGTTGGTAGACGATCGAGTATGGTTACTCGAACCAAGGGGAACACACCACGTCCATCATCGATGGTAACATACGATTATTATTAATATTATTATTATTATAATTATTATTCCTTTAGCTTTTTGATTTAAATAATTAGACTGCCGATTTAATTGCAAATCGGTATATCAAATTTTTCGGCAAATCAAATTTTTCGGCAAATCTTAATCGGTGTTTTTAATTCGTAGAGGAATACTAACGATTATTAGATTTTTTCTTTAACTTTTATTGATTTTTTTTTTTTCAGAAACATAACTAAAACATAAATCTGCATAACAAAATTTCGGGATAATACTTTGATCAGTGTTCCTATTGTAGTTTTCGTATAGAAACATTAGATTATTATTATATATTATCTTTATCTTTTAATTTATAAATTCACTTTTGTAGAGGAAAACAAATATTAGACTGTCGATTTATTAGAAAATCAGTGTATCAACAGATTTTTCAAGTAAACCTTGATCAAATGTTCCTACTTCATACAAGAACACCACGATTATTATATTACCCCTTTATATTTTAATCTAAAAATGTATTTTTGTATAGAAAAAAAAAAAAGAAAACAAAAAAACAAGAAAATGAAAATAAGATTACCGATTTATCGAGGAAGTAACATAGAACGTTTAACGTAATGCATAATTTGTCCCTTTGCTACCCTAGATTATTACCAACCACAGAGTCCATATATATAATCTATTATCCTTTTGACGTCGGTGTACTATTAAACCGTCATAATTAATCCCTTTGCTGTGTCATCCACAGGTGGGTCGCAAGACACGTCGCGGCACGTACGTTGCAAATCATACGTCTGCGCTTGGACGCGTATACTTATTATAGACAATCATGAACGTTAATGCCTTGTTCATTGCGCGGAATATGACTCAATAGCTTCATGCTTCGTTCCTAACTAGTACATACCTACATATTTATGCATATATGTATATGCATATATGTATTCATGCATGTATGTATTCATGCATGTATGTAGAAATGTATCTTGTTCGAACATACGTGGAGAGGTGTAATACTAGATAACTGTAACAATCTAACTGAGAGAGAGAGAGAGAGAGAGAGAGAGAGAAAGGAAGAGATTTTCGATAATAATTTATACCTTTTAATTGTAGAATACAGTTTAATCACTATTATGCATTGTATTTGTATTGTAATTGTCAATTATTTAAGATAAGATTCGGTGAATCTTTTTCTGTGATTTTATTTTTGATTACCAGAGTTTGTTTAAATCATACATTTTGTTCATTATTCTTATTCGTTTGTCTATATCTTTTTTCTATCAGTTAATATTAAAATCACGTAAATATTTTGTATTCAATTGTAAATGAATATTAATTGTAATATACCAAAATGAAGAATTCAATATTTGTATCGATAAGTATATATGAATATATATTTTGTCACTGAAGTAGACACTTATCTCGATAAGGGATTTGATTATTTGTGTTTGATAATTTAGACGAGTTTTTTTGTTTTAATTTTTCTTTCGTGTTTCTTCTCGAGGATTCTTCCAAGGTCCTGGGGATTTTGTAACCGTGCGAATCTTTCTCTCCTTCGACGAGGAGAGAGACCAGATATACGGTCCTACCGGATAAGTATCAAGTATACAGCTCGTGCAGATATAGTCGGGCCAGTATCGACCGGGTAGCCAAGTTCAACAGCCAATCCTCGGCTGCGCGTTAAAACCACGCCCTTTATTTTGCGGTTGTATTAGCCACATCTCACGTTCCGTATTTTAACATCATAGCGATTATTTAATGTACTCTTTCTACTTACCCTTGCCGAGTTACCTTGCTTCCTGTTTTTTTTTTTTTTTTCGGTTTTTTTATCCAAAAAAGTCCACTTCGTCAAATTTCATTCATGTTTCAAAATCAGCAGAATTTTTTTTTGTATTTTTCAACACCTCCGATCTATGACGATTCTTTCTTTCCTTTTCGAAACGTTAATAAACATTATCACGGATTAAATATACAGATAGATAGATGGATAGATAAATTTATTAGTTTAATTAGAAAAGTTGGTGGGTTAGTACTTCGAGTATTTCGAATTAACGGCATGTTGATTGAAGATAATACGATGGTAATTACACATGGTGAATTTTGTTGAGATTCATCCCCCGAAGCATTAATGCAGAAATGAGTCGAGTTAGTACTGGTTTGCTGACGATTAATCGAATTCATTTGACCTAACGAGAAGAAATGATTACCTACTAACGCAACCCGTATACTAGTATTACAAATTAGCTAGTTGAGAAAGTATGATCAAAAGCAACCGAATCGATATCAATAATGATGACAGAGGCCTATTTACGGTTTTCATTGGTAGTTTGGTATTGATATAAATAAACAACGAAGAAAATAAATAAAAATAACACTTGTTTTAAAGAGAACAAGCGTTGGGGGTTGGGGGATGCATATCGCGTGAAATAAAAATATTCGTTAGATTAGTTTATTCTATTTTTAATTTCGTGTCTTGATACAGGGATGAAGGTGGAAAGAAAAAGGTTTACGTCGTTTGGCATATCCTTATTTTAGCTAAAGTAAATTTCATTAGAATTCCGGATCCATTGTATTTAAAAGCATTTGGTATTTATGTAAATAAGGAATTTGTTTTGCGTTAGGACGAAAATG